CGTCATAACTTCACGAATTGCGTACTGAATATTTCTTCTTTTCTTTTTTTTTTTTCCAGATTCTTATATAGTTTCACTTTAGTCCCCAAAACCTACGGAATCTGTTTTGGCCGGCCGGAAGTGGTGGTCCGGTGACAGCGATGATGAGATCAGAGATGGTAGCTTGCTGGAAGAAAAAAAAAAAATATTGTCCAGGTAAAACATGTTTCACAAAAATTGTCCAGATGTGATACACAAAACTTAAATACCTCCCTACATAAACTTACCATTTTTTAATCATTTTTTTCTAATAAAATAAAATAAAATGAATACACATAATTGGAGTAATTGGGATATTCGTAACCACAAATCCCAATGAAAGATTACGAGTTTGACTAGTAGTACTAATTACAGATATACATATATGCTTCATTCCTAAAAAAACAAACATATAAGACATGAAAAAATTGACATGTAAAGAAAAAAAAAAAAAAGGAAAAGAAATCACAGGAACAAGAGTCAAACACTCTATATCATAGGTTCCGATCGAGGAAGAATGCATACATGTGTTTGGATTGTGCTACACGTCGTCGTAGAAAGTAACTAAAATATTTATTGGAAATGAGATTAATTTGGATATAGAGTATGATTGTTCAAGATTAATTAACGAATTTGTACTATGAGAATTGAATAACAGTTTAGTAGTTAGTTTGTTGTCTTTCCTGGTGTTAGATTCGGGTTCAATTCCCACCAAGGATATGTAAATGGTAGGTTTTATTCACATTTAAGTAGGGTCCATTTAGGTAAAAAAAATTTTCTAAAAAATAGCGATTTTGTATTATGTAATATATATATATATATAAAGAACGTATTTATTATTATTATTACAAGACCATATACATAAAAAGAAAATCCATGGTGCCAAGTCCGTGACTTACACCAAAGTTATGATTACAACTTATTATGATGATCTAATTATCCAATTGAATAATAAAATGTGGATGAGAAAATTCTTTTTGAGATGAAAAAGAAGAATACAAAGCAGATAAAAGATAAGTAGTCACCACCAACCCAACTAACAAAACGAACGACCCCAAAAGACGTGGAAAGTAAGCTGTTTATTCAGTTGTTAATCATTATTTTCCCAAAAAAGAATAAAAAATAGAAAATTGTGTGTTTAGTGCTCAAAAGAATTTCAAGATGGTCGGCAAGGCAATGGGCCAAAGCTCAATCTCATTTCTGCATTTTTATTTTTATTTTTTACCCTTCCGTGATTATTGTTCTTCTTTTCAGCAGAAAGTGCACAATTCCACTATTACTAACTACAACTGAAACAATTAATTTTAATTTCAAGGTATGGAATGAAAATTAGGATAATAATTATCATGACTTTTTTGGATTAAAGGTACAGTTGAATTTATCACGAGGGGAGGTAATTTTTATAATGGTACTTTAGGAAGAAAGGGAAAAAGGGTGAGATTTCTTTTATTCTTTTTGTCATTTTTAATTACCAATATGATAGAAAGTTGAGAGATTCGACAATATCACAGTTTATAAAATGATGAGTTAACTAAAAGCCGGTGATTCAATAGAAGAAACTTATCAATCCTTAATTAAAGTTGAATGTTCAAACTGATAATTATTCGCCATATCGAATTTTCTATAATTACTAAACGTTAGAAAAGTGTATATATATATATATATATATATATATATAAAAGTAACGTTCTTCTTTGAATATAGTACCCACGAGTTGGGAAAGAGGTCAATTTTGTTTCCTTTTTTTTTAGTTTTTTTTTTCTTTCTTTTAAAGAAAATGAAGTTGAGCAACAAAGTAGCTAGTCAAGCTATGTTTACCTAGGACAATCGAGTTAGTCATTGATTAGGTTCAATAGATTCTCTACAAAACGGAACAAATACTTAGTTAATTAATTCAACACCTTTTTATGTCAACAACTCTTTGGACTACTGGAGTTTAGTGTGTATGAAAACGCTAAAGGCCAATTCTTCCCACAAATTGTGCATTGTAAATTTTTGTTCCAAAGCACACCTATTAGAAAGAGAAGTCAACAAAAAGTTTAACAAATACTCCTTCTGTCTCAAAATTATTGTCCAATTTAAGATTTTATTTTTAGTACAATTTGAAGTAGAAATGAAAACTCAAAGTGGACTAAAATTATGGGACGGAGGGAGTAAGTCTTTCTGTGTGATCAGGAATTGAACAACAATAGATTAGGATTTAGGATAGCTTCATCAAAAGATTCCTTAGATATAGATGCCCTAACTAGAAACCAACTGGTTTTTATAATTTTATTTCCATAGTCCTTCATACATGATAAAATTCTGGTTCAGGACTCGGAAAGTTTTTCGACTTCTTATTAGATACCTTTAATTAGCACATACACTTTACTGGTCAATTCTAAGTCGGGTCTTTTCTGTGTTTTTTCTTTATGCGGTTTGAAAATTCTGTATTATACGACCGAAGAAATTCATTCTCTTTAAGATAAATTTAGGAAACCAAAATTATTTTTTGCACCAATATTGCTCGATATATATATATATATATATATCGAATGGATGTATGAGCTTGACTACATATATAAACTAGGTTCAACTGAATCAAAACATAAAATCATTAAGCCAATGAAATGGACCAAATTAAGCATGAACGGTTTGATAACGAAGTTTAAACACAACACATACTCATAATTATAGCCATAATCAATTCATAATGCCGAAAGCTAGTTATCACGCTTCATGATATGCTGTGGTGCAACACAAAATTAATATTAACCCCGAAAGGGAGAGAAATTGCACGATTTTTGGCCAAATTGTCAACTTGTCAAATAATTTTTTTTTTTATTATTATTTTTTTTGGTTTACACTAGTCAAATAATTTGAAATCAAAATCTGGTCAATACATAATCTGTTATTCCACGTGGGTTTTTCAATTGGAATTCAGTAGTACCAACAAATGTACGCATTACTAGGTAGGCACTTGGGGGAGGGAGGGAGAAAACATATGTCAACGGGTGCATTAAATAGCAAGTGATTTGGAAGACAGATCTATTTGGATAAGAGGGAAAAGAGTTTGAAGAAGAAGAAGAATAAAAATGGTCCTAAAAAATTTCCTCTAGTTAATAAATTTAGGTCAAACTTTAGTTTACTTCATCCGGCAGCAACACAACGTAATCAAATGTAACTGACTCTACACGCCGACGCTTGATTATCCCCTCCCTCAGGAAACAAAGCAGATAATAACTGTGTACCCGTCCGTCAATCAGGGTCTTATTTCCGCATATGACCGGATCATATATCTTTTTATATCGCATTTTTGTGTTTTTGTGTACCGCTCCCTGTAATTTTGATTCGCGTCTTAATAAATAGTAGTGATATCTACACAAAATGGAGGCGGACGCGAATAAATGTAACTTAGATGATAATGTTATAATAATCGTTTAATGAGTATCGCAGAAATGTAACACTAAACTAAGCCATTGTAACACTATTATTCTAAAAAAAAAATAATAGGGATCGAGTAAATGAAAGTAAAAAGAAAAAAAAAAGAAATTTAATAGTAAAATGTGATGATGCACGAAAGCATTTTGGAAAAATAGCATGTCGCCAAATCAGAGTTAAAATCACTACTAACTATACAGGGATGATTTCGTAGTACGACATGATTCATCGGACATTTTATTTCGTCTCACAATATCTTTTCGCTAGAACTATCATTTTTCTTATTTAATGTCGATTTGAAAAAGGAAATGACACATACCCGTAGCTTTTATAATCCAGTGTAATCTAGACAATGGATAAAATTCAAACGGTTGCCAGTGACGTTTTTTTCGTAAATTTATGACTTCCTTAATTTGGGGGGTAAAAATAGTAGAAACTAAAATGGATGGTTGGAAGCTCATATTAAATGTGACGGTAGATCAGATTATACTATCAAAGTTCACTTTGATATTTTCTGTTTTCCCATTCAGAATTTCAGATTATATACATCCATTTCAACTATTGTAGTAAATGTTTTTCCAAGTAATTTTTTTTTTTTTACTTAAACCGCTAACTGTATGTTTTAATTCGATACATATCACATTTAGCCGAATTCTCATTCGACCCGAATAAACTCATTTCAGAGGCAAAATAAACATGTTTCCGAATGTCAATACATGTTTTAAGTCACATCTACTAAGTTTCATAACAACAATCCAAGGAGACATTATATATCTTTGTTTATAAATTTTCATATATATGATCCACGTAGGAATAAAATAAAGTAAATCAGCACCCAATTAATTAAAACTACAAATAATGGTACTAAAAATAATTTGATTCATAGTTTAAAGCTAGTGACTCAATGAAAATCATTACAAATTCCACGAGTCAAAAAGTATATTTTCTATTCATGTCACTCATTTTTAAACAATTGCCATTATATATAATTTTACTCTCCTCATAATTTACTTTCAATTAAACTATTCGTCACCATCAAAATTTGAAATAAAATAACATTATTCCTTAGTCAGCGTCGCGTCTTTCCAACGTCTCCCGCATTTCCCATTAATCACGTTAGGTAACTCCATACTATTATAACAATATAGAATTCAAGAAAAGAAAATACACCAACATATCACTTGTTACTTGTTAGTAATCTAAAATGGTAGTATGTTTGGATCTTCTTTTGAGCAAATATTTAAAGTTTAATTTCATTTGAGGTTATGACCTAATTTACCGTTTAGGCAAAAATTTGAGGTTTGGAAAAAGGGGGGAAAGAAAACACATTTGTAATACTTATTTCGTCCCAAAATTATTGTTCAATTTTGATTTTTAATTTTAATACACATTAAATTGAAATTAAAAAATTCAAACTGCACAATAATTTTAAGACATAATAAATATACATTTGTCCCAAAAGATGTTTTTATATAGATTAAATGAGAAATAGTTTGAGTGTGATATGTACACAACCCGAAAAGTAGAATTGAGTATGTTTATATTGACCTTCTTCTCCACAAGTCCATCTTACGTGTCATCAACAAACAATAAATTTTTCTTCTTTTCTTTTTTAATTTTTCACTGAATTCAGAATCCACTTTCCACTTTGGATAAGGATTTCTCTTCACTTCACTTCATTCAATTACCGCCAAAAAGCTTATAAATACCCCCAAAAATTTCCTCATTTCAACCCAACCAATTCTTCCTCTCAAATTTTCCCCCCAAAGAAAGAAAATTTCTTAATCATGGCTCAAGAAAACGCCAAAAACCCAGCCGCTTTCCAGCTCCAGTCTTCCTCCTCCTCCCTCCCTTCTTCTCCTCCGCCGGAGCCCGTCCGGAACTTGGTAATGGTGGCCGCCATAGCCGCCGGAATCCAATTCGGGTGGGCCCTGCAACTCTCCCTTCTGACGCCGTACGTCCAGCTTCTGGGTATCTCCCACAAGCTGGCTCCCATCATTTGGCTCTGTGGGCCCATTTCCGGGATGCTTGTTCAGCCCATGGTCGGATACTACAGCGACAATTGCACCTCCCGGTTCGGTCGCCGGAGACCCTTTATTGCCGCCGGCGCCGCCCTCGTCGCCGCCGCCGTCGTCCTTATCGGATTCGCGGCGGACATTGGCCATATGAGCGGCGACCCTCTCGGGAAAGCAATGAAGCCTCGGGCTATTGGTGTGTTTATTGTTGGATTTGCAATTCTTGATGTCGCCAACAACATGCTTCAGGTATGTTGCATAATTCTGTTACGGGTTCTTGAAAAAAACACGCACACACACACACACACAATAACCAGAGACTTTGTGGGTCCCTTACTGAATTTTATTAATTAATCTTAAATTTTGGTATCGTGTAAAGATTAATTTGAACGTGTTATGTATCCGCTATAAAAAGAAATGCGTACAATTGTAATTTGATTTCAAATTGTTTGATAATTTGTCAAAATTCCGCTTGTGATTTTTTTTGGAATTTTTGAGCTTTAGGAAGGTAAGGGAAAAAAAGAAAGTGGTGGAGAAAAAAGAACAATTTTGGAATGTGTTTGGTGGTCTGTGAAATGAGAAATGGCTTTTTTCCTATTTCTTGTTGGAACATTTTAAAAAATTGGATTTTGTAGGAAGTTTACTTATTTTGTTGTTGTTGGTCACTTTGGTCGGTGATCTTTCACTTTCTGTCTCAGTTATGGTTAGTTTTATGGGACTGAAGAAAAACTTTCTATCAGGATTTCTGGTAGCATTTTTCAGAACGTTTTTTCGATGTGTATTTTTGGGACAGGAAACTCGTTAGTCAAGTGTTTCGTAACAAAATTAAATTGCTATAAGAGTAACATGTGAGGTTATACAAACCAGTAATTGTTATAGCACCTTTAAATTATAGTGATCAACTACTTTTTAATTTCACTTATAAATTATCAAAAAAATTCAAAAAAAAAAAAGTGAACTAATTTCCCTCTTCTTTAAAGACTAATACTACTTTATAATTGTTTAAATTAAATACTTAATTAATCAACTAATTGGTATTTTTTATTGTTGATAATTTTTAATTGCAGGGTCCATGCAGAGCACTGCTAGCTGATCTTTCCGGCGGAAACGCGAAAAAGACGCGGGTGGCGTATTCCGGCTACTCTTTCTTCATGGCCGTCGGAAACATCCTCGGTTACGCCGCCGGTTCATACTCCAAACTGTACAAAATCTTCCCATTTACCCAAACAAAAGCCTGTGACGTTTACTGTGCAAACCTCAAGAGCTGCTTCGTGATCTCAATCGCCCTTCTCCTCGCCTTAACCATACTGGCTTTATCATTGGTCCGTGAAATTCCGTTCACCGGAAACCCGGACGCCGAGGGCCAGAAACAGAGCAAGGTGCCCTTTTTCGGCGAGATTTTCGGGGCCCTGAGAGACCTCCCCAGGCCCATGTGGATTCTGTTGATCGTGACGTTTCTCAACTGGATCGGGTGGTTCCCGTTCTTCCTGTTCGACACCGACTGGATGGGCCGGGAAGTCTACGGCGGCGAAGTCGGAAACTCTCTCTACGACAAGGGTGTACGCGCCGGAGCTCTTGGGCTGATGTTGAACTCGGTGGTTTTGGGTGTGGCATCGGTGTTGGTTGAGCCGTCGGCGCGTCTGGTTGGCGGTGTGAAGCGGTTGTGGGCCGGTGTTAATTTCATCCTCGCCGGTGGTTTGGCTTTTACCGTTCTGATCACCAAAATGGCCAACTCCACGCGCCACGCCAACGGTGCTCCCTCCGAAGGCGTCAAGATTGGGTCGTTGGCGTTATTCTCCGTCCTCGGTGTCCCTCTTGCTGTAAGTTTTTATTGTCAATCCTCTTAGTGTTTCTCAAAATTGAACGAAAAAACAAGGTTTAAACTTATGCTATGATTATTGGAAAAAAAAAAAAAAGAAAAAGAAAAAGAAAGAGAGAGAGAGAGCGCGTGAGAAACACGCGTGTGGAGCTGAGAAGGTAAAAAGTGCAATAACTGGAGGGCATGCATTAAAATCAAAGTGGATTTGACAATTCCCATCCGGTTTGATAAAAGAAAGTTTGTTGGGTGTTTTTGGAACCAAAAAAGAAAAGTAAATGTTCTAATAAATGCTTAACCGCTAATAACATTAGACTGTTGTTTTCCGAATGTTGCAGTAGTATTTGTGACCAAATATATTATTATTATTATTATCATTCTTCATATTTATGGTACGTGTTGAAATTGTGAATAAATTGGATCACCACGTGTATAGCCTAATAAGACTAAAAAAAAAAAAAATTGTGTTTGTGAAAGATTTGCCACTTGGATGATGGCATTTGGGGGGTAAGTAGCTGCTGGCTTTGGTCAGTGATTTCGATTTTGGTCATTATTGTTTGCCTAATGTGGAAAATAGATGCTGCAAATTTCGTTGTTTCATTTATGATATGTTTATCCTATCCGTCTTTTACATTAATGATTGTGTCATCTTCAATATTTTTTTTGCATTGGAAGTCGTTCTTATGGATAAGAGAAAAATAATTTTATCTTAGCTAATGTTTGGCAAAATGTAATCAAATTTGGTTGGTGGAATTTACGATAAAAATGACGAAAATGGGGAATTTTTGTTAAAATTTGTAGTTGTATTTTTTATGTGTTTACTAAAACAATTTCCATGTTTTTTTTTTATTTCTTTTGTCACAGGTGACCTATAGTATTCCTTTTGCTTTGGCATCAATATTTTCGACCGATTCCGGCTCAGGACAAGGTCTCTCACTTGGAGTTCTGAATCTTGCAATTGTTGTGCCTCAGGTAAATGTTACTTCACACCCTAGTGTATTTTTTTATTATTAAAGAAAATAAGACGGTACCTGACGGACATTACTGATTTTTTAATTATATTTTTTGGGGTGGTTTTGTAGATGCTTATTTCTCTAACGAGTGGACAATTTGATGCATTATTTGGAGGAGGCAATATACCAGCATTTATAGTGGGTGCTGTTGCGTCAGCAATTAGTGGAATTATCGCATTTACCAAATTACCGTCTCCTCCGTCAGATTTACCAGCACACAAAACTCAAGCCTTTTTACCTGGGGGGCATTGAGAAAGATATTAGAATGGAAGTCCCCCCTTTTTTTAACCATGGGCATCCTCCTAAATGGAGGAGTAATTAAATCAGATCAAAATGTGGTGAAAATTCCTAATTTGATCTGTATTACAAGCCTCTTTTCTTGTTTGTTCATAAGGGTTGTACTTTTTTTAGAGGGTCTATATAATTGCAAGTGTTCCCTTTTGTAACAACTTCTTTCTTTCTTCTCTTGTCAAACATCATCATCAAAGATGTTGTATCCAAAAACTTTGGTAGAAAAATGTGATAAAAAAAAAGGTCAATATTTTCTGTCCTTTTTTTGCACTTTGATCTTTGTAGTTTATTGTTTGTCTTTCTTCCTTTTTCATTGGAGCTTAGAAGTGTCACTACTCACTAGCTTTTTGGAAAATTCTCAATGACGCAAGATTTTTTAATTAGGGCCACATTACATATTACTCTTTTTTTCTTTCTTTTTTACTACTTTTTAGCACATTGCACCCAAACTGAACCGTTTTGTTACTCTTTTTTTTTTTTTTTTTTTAAGCTAGTTCCTTTTATTAATCATTCTTCACTAAAATAATTGTGTTCCTTTATCAATGGTCATTTGAGGCACTATTAGAACATCAAGAACGGAAAAAGAAAAAGTATGTTTAGTCCAAAATCTTTGGCAAAATAATCAAATAGCTATGAATTTCAAAAGTTATTACTCTGTTTAGCAAATCCAGACAAAAACTTGTATTGGGGGAACCAACCTAATTGAATCACTACTTATAAAGTTCAAATAATTTTTTAAAAATATTACTTTACATCTTTTTTTCCCCCTTGAAAGTTATTTATCCAAATATTCCTTTTTACGGATTATATCTTTTGTTATTTTGAATTCCCTATGTTAATATTTAATCTTTTATCTTACCAAGATTAATTTGCTTAAATATAACAATCCATTCATATTTATTAAAAAAAGTCCCTTCACAAAGTAAGTTTTTCTCCCGCAGGATTGGGAATAAAGATATGTATTGGTATAAATTCCACATTAGTTAATAGTAACAAAGACAAATAACCTACTAGGGCACACTTTTTGTTAGGTTCATATTGAACTCTTTGCTTTTTCTTTTTTTCTTTTTTTTTTTGTTGGCTCGGGACAAATTCCTGACCAGAAGCGACCATTTGGCCCATTTCTATGTGATAGAAGTGACTAATTGTTCCTTAGGATTATACATGAATTTTGTTGAAATGCCTAAATTATTATACGGCAAGTCTATAATCTAAAAATAATAATTAATGGGTGATAAAATTTTCACACGTGCGTTTCTTACTCAGATTTCTATTTTAACGAAGAAACTTTTATTTACTTTCTTGACCATTAGTGAGAATCGAACCTGGACACTTCGGGTTAGATATGTGAAAAGTTTCTAATAACCACTTGGCTCCCCTTTCATTCCATACATGCATTTTCAGAAATTATGCAATTATCATTGAGTTAGGCATTTATATACAGTGTCACTGTAGCTAGGTTAACATTTTTTTGAAAAGATATATATAAAAAAAAAACTGACAATTTTGGTTTTGATTCTATTCCCACTGGAAAAAAAAAAAAAAAACGAATTTTAATAGACACTAAGGAAACCATAGGTTGATGCCACGTTATAATGTCATTGAGAGCTTAAATAAAAAAGCAAAGAGCCAAAGATGAAGAAGAAGAGAGGAAGGTTCTATTCTTCCCAGAAAATAAGAACACTTTCGGCGCTTTTTAGGTTCTTCAGAAACAGGAAAAAGATGAAGAACAAAAAGGGTATGATGTGGGGGCAGTAGATAAGAAGAAAGCCTATCATCCATATACAGATATGGCAAAAGGGCTTTGTTTTTATTAAAATTAATTTTATTTTATTTAATTTCCCCCCCTAAAAGATAGTACATGCATGTTCTATATGCTCTAGGCGTGACCAATTATTATTATTATTTTTGTATATAAGAAATGATTATTAAAAAGTTGAGTTTGGTGCCAAAAATGTATTTGCTGTCATTTACTTATATGATGATGATGGTCTTCAGAAGGAAGAATCCACGCACATAATCGTATGTAGGTCAGATTTATTGCTTATTTTGGTTTCCTTCCAAAGAAGATAATGAAAAAAGAATTAGTAAGCAATTGTAATTATTAGTTCCTCACTGTATGTGATCAGGAATTTTTGATTTGGTGGCGTACTTGTTTTGATCCCTTTTTTGTTGTGGATGTGATATTGATCCGTAATTACTTAGTTTTAGCTACTAATGATAACAATAATTATTTTAAATTATTTTCTTTGTCCCAAAATTATTGTCCACAGTGGAGCCATGAAATTCATGTAGGGGGTGTAATATTTTGGAAAAAAACTACTAATGAACTAAAAAATTAACGTAAGGGTGCAAAAAATTATACGATACATAAATTTGTATTAAAAGTTTAAGACACCTCTACTAATAAAAAAAAAATTGAGCAGGTGCGACCGCACTCCTCCGTCTCATGTTTAGGTTTTCACTTTTAATTCTTTTTGTACTATAAATAAAAATCGAAACTGGATAATAATTTCGGAACGGAGAGAGTAAAAAGATACTCCGAAAACTTTTTGTTAAAAAGGATTATCGTTCATATAGAGCAAGTGGAATTATTTTGAGCACAATATACATCTATTTAAAATCATCTCCTAGTTCATACAATTTAGTAAGAAGAATTCTGTCACTCTTGTGGACGCTTGAAAATGGAAACCGTGCTTCTTAATTAATGAAAAGGAATGCTCAAGTTTCTATTGATGCATTTGGTTTTTTGCTTTTATTAATTGAAGCTCAAAAATTAAAGCCACGGATTGACTTCGAACAAAAGAGTAAAGAAACCAAAACTGAGGAAGACACCATTATGTACACTTCGCATCTATGCGACCAAAAAATCTAACCCATACTATTATACAGAAGTACACATTTACTTCAAACAAAAATCTTATATATCTCCTTTGTCTCAAAATATATAAAAAAAAGTTCATTAAATATTTATGTAATTTTTATTTTATTTTTTTTGTGACGAAAGAGTATATCAGTAAAATTTAATGTATATAATTAAATTAAAATAACCCAATATATGTATATCGAGATGAACCCAAATCGTTTAGAGCAAGAATAATCAGCCTACAAAACGTACGTGGGAAGAAAAAGTATTCATCACTTCAGAATAGCGGCGTGAAGGTTCAATGTTTTTTGGTGAAAAGCATCGATCATTTTCATCGATTACTTCCAGCCAAGAAAGGTCAATTTCATACTAAGCTTCTAATCACCTTCAATTTGCATATTTTGTAGCAGCCACAGCTTTAATTTATTCACTTAGAAGTCACCTTCTTAAGGGCTTTCATTACCAGACTCTTGGTTTGATAGTTGCTGGCAAAATTTTATCTTATTTTTAACTCCGGAAACTTTACAAAAAATGAGTAAACTCACGCATATTGTAATAATTTACAAATCAGAGTGAGAAAAAATTGATATGACCGGTAACAACGAAAGTATTATGAATTGGTGTTTTGGATGAAGATATAATACGTACATTCAGATAAATTTTCATTTGATATGGTTGGATCTCTTTTGAGAATCAGAAAATTCTCATTTATAATTTATCAAATATATAGACAAAATTAAAACTTGAACATATACCACGTGAAAAATATATATACATTATGTTAGATAGTGCCTAATTTGGTGAATTGAATGGTAGGTCACTCATTGATTACATAAACTTCTCTTATTGGAAAAAATGATAGTGGAAAATCATGACGTGAATGGGTGCGCTCAGATTCTTCTGTTCAGCTTGTTATGGCATTTTGCACTTAGTCAAAATGAACTCATATTGCACCAATGATTGAGATATATGGACATTACAGAGCACTACCAATAAATAATAATAATTAGGGTTTGAGAAATTTGTGTCAAATTGACCACTAATATTGTACGTCCAAATTAAAATGAAGCACATATTTGTTTAATGTGCTTTTGGGGGATCGATCGATGAACCGCCACCAGATGTTAAGAGATGTATTTCCGCCACAAAATTGTTTGGAACTAGTAGTAAATAATTAACGCCAGCCACCACACCCACTACTTTGTTAATTAGGTTTATAAACCTGTTCATAAACTTTGGAAATTTTTAAAGATTTAATTGTACTTTCAGCTCTTCAAACTTTAAGTTTGATCTCTTGTTTATGGAAAATTGTTAGTTAGCTTACTGAATTCAATAATTGATTCAATGTACTCCAGTCTAAAGTAGATGATCAAATGTGATCTTAAGCTCGCCACACATATACTATGTTAAACATATTCGATTGACATTTTTAATATTACACTTCTTATGACACAAGTTTAGTTAATATTAGAGTCACTTCCCACGTTGTTACGATATCACTATCAACTTAACACGGACTACACGAATAGTGTAACATTAGAAATGACACAGAAAATCTTGTATATTTCCTCTGTCTTCAAATTATTGTCCAGTTTGAATTTCATTTTTAGTACAATTTGAATTAGAAATGAAAATCCAAACTGGATAATAATTATGGAACAGAAGGAGATCAATTGCATTGTTTCCGTTCCAAAATAATAATTTATTTTAAAACCCTTTTTTTTTTGAATTTAGATAAAGCTCACTTTTCAACTTTTTTCGAACAAAACCCTGACTTATAATGGATCAAACACGATTGCTCGACTCAGAATTTTAACACTGTATATCCAACAAACTTGCACCAACTTGAATAGCAAATAGGCTTGAAATGGAGAATGTGATACGAATTGGTGAATGTTCAAAGGCATATATAGTACTTTCAATTATACGCATTGTATTTGCACATGTACTATATATACCAAGTTTAAAGTTGATTAATCAATTTGGCCAAAGCCAAAGAACAAGGAAGATATTTTCCTTGTACTTGGTGGAATAAAATCTTAATGAATTTGATGCTCGAAGAAAAAAGGGGGAAAAAGAAAAAGAAATGTCAGAACTAATTTATAACTAATCTTATAGGTTTCCAATCATCATGGAAGACAAAACTCTGCGACTTGCGAGAGTGTAATTTTCAGAACATATGCAAAGTGACCATGAGCAGGAACTAAATGCATGGAATTTAAGGACTATGTTTATTGGTTCATTTATTAGTTTGGATTTTCAGTTTTAGTTCGATTTGTACTAAAACAGAAAATTTAAACTGGATAATAATTTCGGAATGGAGAAAGTATTTGTAGATATGAAATGCCGTACCATGTCAACAACTTAGCTCCAAAGTACACACACAAACATAAAAGAAAATGTTCGTTGATGGATGTTGAGAATCTGCACATTTGATCCAAATTAAAAGTCATATAGACCCCAAATTTTATTCCACAAAACGAGTTGATTGGGCATTACTCTTTATTCTCGTTTTCATATCATAAGAACAATATTACCAGAGATGTTGTGACAAACAAATTTGGTGGCCGACAAATGCAAAATGTTAGTCGTATATGTACTTAGGATTGTACATTAATTTTGGCTAAAATGCTCCAAGAGATTGGACTTCACTTAGCTTTCTTCTATAGGTATGTACTGTGGGATCGTCACCTCCACAAGTGAATTAAACAGAATTTGCCAATAGAGAATATCAAGAAAAGAAAATTCGTGGACAAATGGCCTTTTGCAGTATCAGATTCTTGAAAAATGATGGTTGTGTAAATACTAGTGTAGTAGAATAGACACTAGAGAGAATGATGCAAAAAATTATACAATAATTGTGTAGTGGTATCCGTCACTCCTTCGTTACGAAGTATTGTCCCATTTAATAACAATAATAAGAGTTTAAACTGTAACATATACATATAATAACAATAATAATTAAAACACTTATCGAAGAAGTTTTATTTCTTGAACGAACTTATATATAGATATCTAATTCAAATTTAAATTATTCATGACACTGATTTCATATACATAGCAATATACGTATCAAAGTTATACTCCCTCTCTATCCCTGTAGTTACTAAACATCTTTTTGTTCCACAAAATTAAAGGTCATGGGTTGGATGTGTTACTGCCTTTAATTTCAAAACTTAGTACTAATTGTTATTGGCATGTAATATGTGATTATTTTTGGGGTTATGAATCAAACAAAACACATAATAGATAGGCCAATTTAGGTATTATTTCTTGTAAAATGATAGATAAATGTCAAACAATTTCTTCTTTTTCTTTGAATTTCATTTTTTTTTTATTTTTATAAATTGAGTATAGCTCTTTCTTTGAAACGTAATTAAATTCTGTAAACAGTGAAAGCGAGCCCAAATAATTGAAGTATGGCGTTTGGGGGCCCTGCATGATCAAAGAACAAGAAGATGAAGATCTCTGACTTCGATCGGATGTGTAAAAAAACAAAAACTAAAATGGGTTCGACTTTGTTGATCGATTCTCCCTTTTAGTCCTTTCCTTTTCAATTTGTCCTTATTATGCCCAACTTGACATGTTTTCCGACTTTAGCATCCATTCCCACAATCCAATTTATTCGAAACTTAGCACTTTTATTTTATCCACCAAAAATGAAAGAAAATTTTGAGAAATAAAAAAGGAAGAATCTGTGAATTCTTTATTCAGTTGAAGGAGATGAGTCAATTGTCCTATTTTACTTTATTTTTGAAATGGTTTAAGAAACACTATTGTTATTATGAAACGGTTTATTAGTGATTAAAGTTTCTTATCTATTACAAATCTACATATTTCAGATTTAAAAATGAAAAATTACATAAGAAACAAGTTAACCTGTTCAAACCTATTGCAAATAAAGCCCCCCAAAAACAACAAACTATATAACTCACTAATGGCAAATTCAGAGGAGTTTCTACTTCTTTTGTATAATAGAGGAAGTAATAGCTTTGTAACAAAAGAGAGAGAGAGAGAGAGAGAGAGAGAGAGAGAGAGAGAGAGAGAGAGAGAGAGAGAGAGAGGAAGTAATAGCTTGTATTAAAAAGAAAAAAGAAAATAGCGATTTAAAAATATGCATATACAAACATTAATCTCACTCTAGATTTCTATAAAAGGTTGGTTTTATTGCTCGGATCATATTCCCATGAATTTCTTGGAAGAATAGTTTGTAGCCAATTAAATAAGAATAATAACAATAATGAGACAAACGTGAGAATCGAGTCAGATTACTATAAAATTTGGTACTCCCTTCATTTCAAAATATAAGCCGTTTTAGGTTTAGAGAAATATTTCAAAATGTAAGTCGTTTCACAATTTCAAGGCAAATTATTGGTTAATTTCTCAACTTTGCCTTTTAACAAATGATGTAACTATTTTTCTTCTAGTTTTGATTATAATTTCAAAACAATTAATGATGGATAAATTAGAATCATCTAATAGTTACTTTGACGGTCTAAAAAAAAGAAAAGAAAAATAATGAATGATTAGTATAATATGTGAATTAAAAATGTTTTTACTGTTTTTTTCAAGCTAGCTACCTTCCCATCCCCATTTTTCTTTTTTCTTTTTTTGTTTTCTGTTTTCTTTTTTTTTTTTTTAGTTTGTGAGAAGTTTAGGAAGTGAATAAAAATAACAGAAACCAAAGCGAGGAGTAAATAGCAAATTTGAAAATTTTTATGTGTTTCCCAACATTATAATTTTCACGAAATGGTTATAGCAAAAACTAAAACTAAGACAGTTTGACAATTTCTGTGATAGCATTTCATGTTCTATGGCAGTCCTTAATCTTTTTCCCTTCTTTGACAATTTCTAAGACGCAATTTCATGTTTCTTTAGGCGAAATCACGCGATTGTTTCTTTAATTTAGAATTGCAGTCGTAATCCTCTCGTTCGTCAGAGTTTTCCCCCTTCAACACAGTTCAAAAGAATCATCCACCCCGAAACCAGAAGATATCAGTATCTTACTAATATATTCACATTGCTACACTAAGCTACCAATTTCTCTTGAGAATCTTGCCAACAAAAGGGGGGGATATTCAGGCAAAAGAGTGAACAACCAAGGGGCACTTCACGGACACAAATCTTCCGGTTGGGTTAGTGCATGTTCTTCAGCACTTGGCACAAATCGAGGTCTTTTTGCAGCATGTTTCACCTCTAGTTCCTCCAATTCCAATGCTGGGTCAGCGTTATTATAAGCTGCACCCGCAACACACTCGATTCCTCGTTTCAAAAGATCAGGTATACCCATCCGGCATGCATCTAAAGCATCAGCAGTATCATCTTGATTGAGGTTATCATCTTGATGAATGGTCAACTTGGAACCGTGCGGGTCTGCAACATTCAGCATCGGATTAGCGACAGGGGCAAAGTTATCTGTTAGGCACTGAACATTTCCTGCAGGAGTATGACTTGTCAGATCCATTTTCTCATGCAACGTGATTCCTCCACCAACTTGGCATTCTCCATCTTGTTGTACTTCTAAAGAATTGTCGGTGAAGAAGACAGATTCTACAGTCAGTGAAGCAATGCCATCATCCTGGCATGCAGTTTGATGAATTGAGCTCCCTTGGTTCCACGATGCCTCAGTTCTCATATCCCTTGATGAACATGAGAAGTCACGTGTTTCAGGGGCAATATTTTCAATACTTCCAGCACCTTCCTGGCAAACATAAAGTTTAAACAAAGTTTACATACAAACTTCTATAAAAATATTTACACGTCATGAATGAAAGAATTAAACCAACAGAAAATCATCGCAGACCATCAGTTGCCATTATCTCATGTTCTTTAATAATTGCGACATCAAATTTTCTTAAGTAGATTGAGCACTACAGGGGTACCTCGATTGATGCCAGAGTGCTTTTAAATCCATTAAAGGACGGCATTCTGTGGAAAGCTTGATACTGAATATTCACTGAGCATCCTGTAGCATTGGAGTCAAAAAGCTCCACTGAATTTATGCCAGTATCATTAGCACAAGGAGACCCCACCAAAGGAGCTGGAAAGAGATTCATCCCAAGACCATTATCAGCTCGAGAGGGCAATAAATTCACATCACATCGTTTTGATAAGCCCTCAGAAGGAAACTCCATTGCATTTGCAGTCTCAGAATGGTTAAGGGGATGATAATTGTCATCACTAGGTGTTGGAGAAGTTTCTTCACAATGATTCTCAAGAAGGTCATAAATCAACTTCTGTATCTCACGGCGCTTGAGCGAAGGTTCAGACGGTGGAAACCAATCAGCAGTAAGCTGTATGAAGGTTATAAAGAAACCAAGCATTATTAGATGACACTTCACTTTTCAATACAGAGCAGAAGAGAAGCTACGCAAACACAAGGGAAACTAGCAAACAGAAGACAATGCTGCTAAGGAATGTCATGCCAAACATAAAACAAAACAGCTGTTAACAATGTAGGCTTAAACTGAAACAAAGTCTAGTTCATCGCTACTGATAATTACCACAACGACAAGTCCTGATGCATAATATCTTCCACAATTCCAACAAAAACATAGATCATACATACATGTGTCAACTTAACCAAATATCAACAGAACATTTTAAAAGTTTGAGGTTCGGTCACACTGAACAGGTCTGTCGTTTTTACTCGCATCATTAAAAAATTCACAGCAAAACTTTCCGGTCAGATTCAAGCTTATGTAAAATGACGCAGCACAACATCCACATACAGCATAGGGAAGACACCATCAGGTTACATTAGAATACGCAACATACAAGCAAATTGATCATTTGTTTTGAGCTATCTTGTCTTTCCGACCACTGAAGTTTTAATCATTTTGAGGGACAATTCAGAACAAAGCATCCAAAACATTCCCACAATCTACTTTCAAAATCCTTATTTAAATCCATGCATTAGTGATCCACCCTGTTCCAAGATCCATTTCTCTGCTAAATCAAAGTTCATTCCCGAAAAATTCAAATCCTTAGTATTCCTAGTGACTCATTCCAATTCTCAGAAACTTGTAAAGTCTACTCACATACCCGTAGTATGTACCAACTATATAGCCTTGCTGATCAGAGAGTTCAAACATAACATCAGTTATTCCATACAAACTTAGAAAGGGCAATACAGAAAAAACTCAAAGCAAATTTTCGAGTCATACAAGAAGTGGAGTACATTCAAAAGAACCCAATTTCTTTGTTATACAACCTAAAGGATTGCAAAACAAAACCAATGCCTGAGGGAGTGATAGGCAACTTACAAATCTCATAAGTGGTGTGATCTTGAATGGGCTGACACTGATTGGATCTTCCTCCAAAAACTGCTCCACATAGTGGAGAAGAAATAGACCACAATCATAAGAGTTCTGCTGTTGTGGAAGCTGATTAACAAGTAAGAACATAATCAAATTAGAACACGAAACACAAAAGAAAACCAAAAGCAATATGCTCAAGATTCATGCACAAAGAATCAACTCAAATGTGATATCAGGAAGAGTATTCATCTTTCGCCAACACGCAGTGGCTTAGCTGTTAGTCATCTTTCTTCAACACGCAGTGGGATAAAGGCTTGGTTGTTCTTATCGCGTACACACATTCTCTTTGCATTATTGGAAGAGGATGTAAACCAGTATATAAAATTGTTCACTGTAAGTAGAAACCATCTAACTTATGTCAGGCTACACATAATAACCACCTGACAACCAAGTCTATGACATGCATGAATATGGTATGAAGGCAGGATCATTAAGTAAATACATAACAGATGAATAAGTAGAACCAAGAACAGGTAAAAAGAGAGAAATCATTTCATTGTCATTTTGCAACATGACCTTAACTTTTTTGAGATACTTGCAACTTAGAATGTCTGTGGGGAACATCTTTTGTCTGATTATGATATTAGACACTGAATAGCAGCAGAGATAGACGGCAGACCTCAAGAGAAATGAATCTCAAATTTGAAAACTTCAAAGAGATATCCTCAGACGATTCCTTTTGTCGCTCTTTCCATTCCTCGTACAGGTAACTGTAGCAAATAACAAAGTTATTACACAAGCAACGATTGATAATCTGATAGCATAACAATATATATCTTTTTGGGAGGAGATGCTATAGTAACAGCAATCTTTAAACAGTATATGCATAGATGAAAATTTGCACAGCTAACAAAAGAACGTCTTCAATAATCCCCAAATCAATAGATATAAAGTTTCAGAAATCAAATTTCTTGCTCAACTTTGGAAGTTTTTAAGGATCAGAGTTTGAAAGAAGCAGTCTATCCCTGAAGGCTCTCAGGCTTAGGTAGCAGTGTGGAAGTAGAAGATTTATCAAATTACAACTGGATAAAACTGAACTATCAATCTACCACTAAGAAAATCACATTGGATTCTGTGTGTTTAGTTGGTAAAGAATGAAGCAAACATAAACCATAACTTAAACAAAGACCTCAACTACAGACCAATAGTTAACTAATAAATAGTAAGCATCTTACTCTGAAATACTGTCAACCCATCATACATAGTTGATTTTGTTTACAGTACCTTTGTATACGGGTTTTGAGATCCCCATGGGTTCCTCTGATAGAATCCATATGCAATATGCATGGTACTCTAGCCAAATCAATCGCATTTTCATCTAAAAACCAAGATAAGAACCAAAAATGTGAGGGCATTCCAGATCAGAATCTTAATGTAAGTTCCAGCGCAAAAACTTATGAGAAGGAAGCTAAACACAGGCAATGATGGAAAATGATTGTATGAACTTGCCTCTGAAGCTAGCCACGTCACCAGGATGACAGATGACGAGTAAACTCCAATGGTAACTGTTTATGTGCAAGAGGCAGTGTAGTTAGCACCTTCCAAGTTTCAAGCAGAAGTACACGAAGAATTGCGGATACCGTAGTTTGAGGTCTTACTTGTGATTAACAGGAATAAATATGAAGTCCTTCTCAAACAAGTTCACCTTTCTTGTCCATTTACGGACGCGAAGGAAAGCAGCTCTGCCATCAAAAGACCCTGGAGGATACTTCTCCAAGTCAGCCAGCTTGCGGAAGAAAAAGCTATTGAAGAAATGGAACCTTTGCCGCTTCTCAGGCTGCATTTTGTCCTTCAAGTATCTGTCAAGGAAAGATTCAACATGAGCATAAAATTTGAAACATAAAAGCACATGTGATCTTAGCAGAAACGAAAAGACTTGTGATTTTGGGGAGTCTTCACAGAAACTTCAAGCAAAATGAATTCCTCCCACCCGGTTCCTACTTATATTCTACCATCGCCCTTTTCTTTTGGGAAGAAAACTTAGTTTTATTCAAGAAGGAATAGAGGTATCTGTTCAAAAAGGATATATCTAGATGTAGAGTTATATCATGTAGCAGCAGAAACAGAATTCCACCTTATAACAGGGAGGCTCCTCTATATTCATGTTCATAACTTTTAGGAAAAGGTGGTGCATCTAATTGGAACATTTAATGAATGTAGGTACAAATAACTGAATCTAAAACTTACTTAATATAAAAATCAATAATAGTATCATTGACGAAAGTGTCCGGTTGTAGTAGATCAACATCTCTCTTACTAATGGAAACAGCATCAGCATCCCCTTGTGGATAGATAAAATCTTCAAAATGCCTAAAACTACGAACAGAAAGAGGCCACCTTAGAACAGGGGAGATGAGTAACAATCGTAAAACTGGCATTTTAAGTTCATATTTACCAGTAACACCCAAAAAAAAAAAAAAAAAAGAAGAAGAAACTGTAAAAATGCAGAGGAAGTACCAAACTTGTGTGGGTACAAAAAGCCCAAAAGTCTACAACTCTAAACAGCAAACAAACAACGAAATAACACCACCAAAAAACAACAGAAGGATTTGCGTGTTTGGACAGCATTATTTCTCCAACACAAACCTAGAAAAAATTCAAGCAAATGTCACTCAAATCAAAGACAGCTCTATCTTAGGTTAATACATGCCCAATGCAAAGCATGTTTCCTTCTGAGCAGGTTTTGAATCACTCCCTCCACAATGGCAAGGAAAGAAAAAAGCTACCAAATCTTATATAGTCCAGGTGCAGCAGAACTTGGTAATACAATTTTTGCAACTTGTGGAGTCCAGCATGATCACCCATCCAAACAAAAAGCTACTTCCTGATTTATTTCCAAACAAGGAAGCAAACTGAGAATGATGATTATGCACCACCTAAGACTTTTGAATACTATCAGGAGAGAAAAATATAGTTCCCATTGAAGACCTCTAACTCAAGGAGTACGACATCCCTTTTGATTTATTCTGTTCAGAAAATCTACATCCCTATTATTCACAAAATAACCGCAATGAAATCATTCATGTTCAGCTAACTTTTTTATAGCACCTTCTTAGGGGAAGATGACTTTGACATGTAATTCATTTCTATTGTACCCGCAAAACACCAAATTATCGTTTGATCAAAACGTTTTCAAGGACCTGAAAATTTAAAACATATCAAGTAACCGAAGCAAATACAAAATCTTTGAGCCATAAACTGATTTTGACCTAGCTTTATATCATATTTGCTGCTGCATTATTCTGTTTCAAGAAAATTAGCTTTCCCAAACCCCATTGAAGACATTTCTGCTGCATTACAATCATCACCTCGGTGGCTGCTTGAGTCATGCACATACATAATCCATTTACCATTCATTTCTATACAGAAGACATCTTCCATGTAAAATATCTTTCCTCAATGCTTAGAAAAGATCCCACAAAAGCATATTACAGAAGGATACTGTGTGCAATTAAGAAAAGATGAACCTAAAGGATTCACTGGCTGACTCATGGACATGTAAGTCACTTGGAATTCACCCCTTTACCCAACATAAGACATATTCAGTAATCCTAAGCACCAAATAAGGTTATCTAGACCCAAGACAGATTTGATACAAGGGATTCTAGTTTACAGCTTAACAAGTATGAAAATGGTATATTCATGCAAAGAAACCAAATAATTCCCCAAAAGAGGAGACTGGTGATAAGATGCAGTGCCTCAGCCTCTAACAGCAAAACCAAAGGGAAAGATAAGAGAGAGGAATTAGCAGATATTTAACTCACTCAGGAAAGTAACTATTCTGAAACGGCAATGCCTGCTGGCTCAAATTGTCTTCATACTCTTCCATCCTGGTAATGTTAAAAAAGGAACCAGGAAATACAACAAACATCAGATGCAGAATAAGGGTGCCTCACAGAGCCACACAACTGCAAAAGTTAGTACAAAAAGAGGTCCCTCCCAATCTTACGTGTTATTTTAGTAAGAACATCAGTTTTACTCCCTCTGTCCCAAAATTATAGTCCAGTTTGAGATCTCACTTTTAGTACAATTTGAACTAACAATGAGAACCCAAACTGGACAATAATTATGGGACGGAGGGAGTATTATATTTGCAATGCCATCAATGTATATGCAATTTTGAAATCTAGCAATCCTCTAGTTAGTAAACTGGCCAAGAGTACCACACTGCAAATAATTTTCTGTCACTCAATAAAAAAAGTATTTCAAGGAAAACCAATAAGATACTCGATAGCACTAGTATCAATCAATTTTCATAACCTAAAAACTGAAAGACTAAAAAGAGTTAAAAAGCAGTTGTATATGTATTATTAGAAAATTAAAATCGCAATCACCTTTTGTGCAGGAGAAGTGCTAAACTACAAAAACACAGCCAAGAAAGAGCAAAAAAGAATGGAGGAACTTGCGATATACAAAAGGCAAGTACTCACTCATTGGCAACTTTCCATATTGCATTATATCTGACATCCAAAGATCGAATTGCCTCACATTTCTCATGCCACTGAGGGTCCATAACAGCAAACTCTAACTTTATGGTCCCTGAAAGACGGGCAAAAAAGAAAGAATTCATCCGATGGATACTATGGTTAAAAATTAACTCGACCAGAGTAATGGACAATGTGAAAGAGCTTTACTTTTTTTTTTGTCGTTTTCTTGCAGGGAGATTAAAAAAATGTCTCCAAAATAACATTCATTAGAGATTTTACATCCTACCGAAATACAACAAAACTAATAACTAGCCACTGTTCATCAAACTTAATTTTCAAGCTAGTAATTTGATTTGGAGGGGAAAGAATAATGAGCGATGTGCCATAGCCTTTAGACAAGAAACTAAATGTACTCCAACAGACTCAAATTACTGGCTACTGATGGGATTTAAGGCATTAATATAACATTCCCAATCCTAGCATTTACTGTCACAGATAATTTCACTTCTTTTGCAGGATTTCACTAACACCAAGTGATATGACACCTAACTCGGCTTGCACTATAATGAGAATGTTTGATTGCTTTGCTCATTTACTTTTCTCAAGACCAAAAGGCAAAGATTATAAATTTACCTAATCCCCCCCAGCTAAGAAGAACAAAAGAGTGTCCCCAAACTAAATATAGATGGTTAAAATAATTAATCCTTCCAATGAATAGCTGAGTACTGTATCTATACAAGTTATAATTGCATGTAAAACTTACACTACATGCTGACTGCGGCAAAAATGAGTTCATCCATCTTTTTGTGTTTCTATCAAGCATAAATTATTTTATCACGAAACAGAACAACAAAGAAGTCATATCTATAACTAAATATTTCACTATTAGCCAATTAATTCATACGTTCCAAGCCCTGGTAAGGTAAAAAGCAGAACCAAAAAGCTGTTGTTTTTCTCCATGCATGAGATTTCCATCCGACCTACCTAGTTCTACCGAGCTTTTAAGTAGAATTTGACCCCAACGATAGTGGTGAAGCAAGGGAAAACCATGAAACCAAATTTTCATATTCATGCACACTCACACCTAGACATTTTTATGCTTTCAGAGTTCTCTAATTTCAATTCCCCTGCCTGGAAAAAGATTTATTTTGGCAAAGCTCCTGAAAAGAGGGGGAAGAAGAGAAAGAAAAGACTATAATCCCGTGACACAACACCAAATGACAACACCCCTTTGCAAAGTTGAGGTACTCAAAAGAATCTCTCCAAATATAAACTAGGAGAAAAAAGTTATCTTCTTTCCCCACAGGCTCAGCTTCAATTCTCACTTTACAAGCGTACAACAACTATTAAAGTATATTTTTGGCCCACAACTTATCTGCCCATTTGAACACCTGCATAACAATCAATAAATTGAGATGACCTATAAAACAAGACTCTAGTTTTAAAATCCTGTACATTATTTATCGAGAATATTATACAACAAAAAGTATCCCCGGACCTTTATACTAAGCATAATTCACTATATGGTTGTTAAATGAACTATTATTTCTAGGTGAATAAAGTTTGCAGCACACAAAGTAGAAGCTTTAACTTTATGATGATTGTGTAGTTCAGTGCCTGCGCTTTAATCATTGGATTATCTTGTCAAGCATGAAATAACTGTTTAATCTAGTGTTTTGCAGCTGCAACAAGAAATGAGATGCACAATGGCTACCTAAGAATTTAAGTGGGACAGCTGCGGAATGGTAAAAAGCTAAATAGTTAGCCTAGCCTGAATGAACAAATACCATATATATTTTAAGTCCATTACAGTATACAAGATCCTGGAAAGGAAATTCTATATGGCGCGTGTCCCTGAAACCAGCAGATACAATTCTCATCTAAGTCCATATGTACAAGATACTGAAGAAGGAAAAGATAATCACTGACAAGCTCCCAGATCCCTATAAAGTTGATTAAGATTCATGTGCAATTTTTTTTCAAGTCCTAACTGTTAGTAGTGTCTACTTAAACCTCCACCATTCTCAAATTAGTTCAGAGAATATAAAAGAAACCATTCAAAAAAATAGAAAGCATGCACCATTAGGAAAGACCAAAAACAAAAGAGTATCTGACCTGTAAAACGAATATCAGTTTCATCTTCTTCATTTTCTGAAGGCGCATAAATCCTGACTTTTGATGTCTGAAACGGAATGCAAAATCAAGTAAATACTCTAAATATTACAGCTTCGAAGCACAAATAAAGTTCCTGAGACTATGAATTAAAAATGACAAGATACATAACAGTAACTCCAAAACGTGAACCTCACCCTTCCAACCCATGTAGATTCAATGCGCACAATGTTATCTAATCTAAACCGAATGCAGAAATCATCTTGGTCACTGTTGGCAACTAGACCTTTAGCTTCAAGGAGATTTTCTGAGAATTTCAGCTCGCAGTTGGTTGAATAAACAGACTCGCACACGAGATAGTCTGCTTCAAAAAAAATTTCCTTCATTCCAACCTGCATATGTCACAGAAAATTACCAGATATTAGCCTTAACGTTCCTAATTTTGGCACAATTTAAATTAACAAGTTGTGCTAACTTGACCAAGCCCAATCGATCCCAATGCAGATCATAGGGAATACTGACCCTTACCCACAAGAAACGAAAGCCAAAATGGAAATTTTAAAAACAAAATAAATAAGAAATAGATTGAAGGGAATTTGAACAAGAAGATTACCATTTTCCATCCCCCAAACCACTGGCCTGGTGATGTTTCACCATCAAAAGCTGGACCACAGCAAAATATTTCATTCTTAGAAGATCACGAACCATTATTATAAGATATATAATATTATATTATCGAGAAAAAAAAAGTAGTCTTACTTTCACCATCTTCCATGCTAGCAGAGGAACCAGATGGAGTTGTTACAGTCATGCTTCCTTCGTCATCACTATTCGCAGCACCAAATCGAGCAGAAGAACCATATGAAGTTGTGACAGTCATGCTTCCGTCTTCTTCATCATCGTTCGCCTCAAATCTAGCAGAAGAACCAGACGAAGTTGTCACATTCATGGTTTCCTTTTTATCATTCTCCAACCAAATCGATTCTAGGTTACCGGACTCTTCCTTTTCGACAAAATACCGGCACCGCCACCGGCCGGTACGGGATATGTGTCCGATAAGGTCAAAGGATTTTCGATTAGGTCAAAGGAATTTCAGATTCGAGAAGCCAGAAGAAAAAACAAAAATCAAAAAGAAGAATTAGAAGAGAAGGTCGGAGAAGACGAAAGAGAAGAAAGATCCAAGAAGATGACGAGACTCTGATTTGGTGAACCTGGGAAAAACCCAAAGAGAAAGGGGGAAGCTTAGGAGACGGCGGCTGATTTAGCAAACTAGCCCCTAAACTTCTTTTCCTTGTCTGTTTTAGACTCAAAGCTTTGTTTATTTAACTGCAATATGTCCTTGCATCGGAGAAGTGTAGAATTTCAGTAGTGGAACCGTAGAAGATAGCACAACTTAATAAGGTGATCTTAAATTAAAAAATATAATATATATATATATATATATTATAAGTTGTATGGCGTATTTCTGTATGTGCCTAATTTCATACCACGTATCTTATTAATTTATTAAGATTTACGAATCCAACATTCATCTCTACCAATAGCTGACATCCATACAATAACTAATATATGTACATAGAACTGTCAACGAACTGAGTAACCTGCAACTAATTTGGTCAAGGTTTGGTTAGACTTAGAATTATGTCAAAATCAAAGTCGGGCTGTAAATTTATTATAAAACAATAATATTGGTTTAGATTGAAGTAGGAGAAGATGGCAAATCCATTGTTCGATAGAAGATAAGAAGAACGAAGCAATTTAGGTATCTTAGCTTTAAACACCTACTAGCCGTCAGAAACTCTTTGCCCTGAATTGATTCCGCCAATTTGAGGTCTGTATACCTTCAATTCTTTTAGATTATCCTTTTTAATATTTTATATCCAGAAGTTATGTATCACGGACGAACAGTAAACTATTAATACTGCAAACTAGTGAAAATATGTCATTCTACTGGGTTGGGATGTCACGGTTATTGTAAGGACAAGCTACAATCTGTCCTCTACTCCATTGATCGTATTCGTATCGCCTTTGACGATGCGTACCGCAATCAAGTTGGGTGGTAATATTATTTCGGTCAAATTATTCGATCATGTTTTTGTTTATTGGAAACAACCCTCAAGGTTTGTAATTTGTATTATTACTAATTTTTTAATAAATCAAGTTTATGCTCCATGAATATGATCTCCTCAAGTGGAAATTACTTGATCATTCTTATTTTGGTTGTAGCTCAGCTGCTTTAGAAGATGTGCTTTTAGTTATGATGTATTTTTTTTTTATCATTGTTGAGGTGTATGTGAACCTTGTTGTCTTTGGTTTGAACTATAACATATTCAAATTTAATAGTTTTATGGCAATTACAATGAAACTAAAATGTGTCATTTTACATGTGAGAATTCTGAGCCTTAGGATTGTAGTTGTGTGTGTATGTTGATGTATTTTGTTGCGTTTGAGTTTGGGTACAATTGTATTTTGTATGTGAGTACGTGATGCACTTTATTTCAATGGATGCGAGGTGTGGGAGATGAATTGATGAGAGTATTTGTGTATGGTCTGAAAGAAGAGAACTAGCTACATTATCATGTTGTAAACATGGACATTACACTTTTTGTAATTTTTGTAATGTCTCAATAAATTTTGCATATCAGTTTGTCGATAATTGTTGCTTGTGTGTTGATATGAGGAATATATGTCTCGCATCTAAAAGCCCATGTTCCTAAAAATGTTGTTGTAAAGTAAATAAAAGCCTTTTCTGAAGTCTTTTAGACCTTATGAAACTTACACCCTACATATTCTAGATTAAAATCATCATAGAGTACCTATAACACGCCACTAAAGTGGATATCCATTTTGGAGTTCACAGATAATAGGTCAACATGTTCAATACCAACTCTGTTTCTGCAACATTTATCTTAAAGGGGAAAAGACTTTAAAAGTTGTTTAATCGAATGATGCTGATAGTTTTCACACACTTCCAGACTTTCTTAAACCTACAGCTATATGAGGAGGTCAGAAAGTAAGGACTCTCTTCTATTGTATTAGAATTGCTCTTAAAATGGTCCCATGTGGTGGCTTTGATTCCGCTCGCCGAGAAGCTACAAATTAAAGCTTTATTGTTTCGTTGGTTGAGAATATTCCAGTGACTGTTACCCACTACTTAGCTTCTGAGAATAACCTTTTTTTATCGTTTTCATTAGTTGCCTTCCGTTTTGTGCTCTGAAGATGTATTTAGATATTAGACTGTCATTTGCTATGCGAAGTTATGTTTTAGAATCTATCAAAAATTATATTGCAGGCTTGCTTCTAACATTCCCAAAAGTAGAAAAATTCACTTGTTAGAAGAAAGTTTAGGATAATTGAGGCTCAAAAACTGAGGAATTCATCGGCTCTAAATTCCTGTTTGTAAATCCCTTCTGACTTGGGATGAATTTGGATTAAGATGATTTTGGTTTAGGATATATTCGGATTTAGATTGATTTCAAGACAAGAAGAAAAACTTTAAACTTTAAACTGATTGTTTAGAAGAAGTTGATGATGGTTCAGTTAGAGATATCAGCGAAACTGATGGTAACGCCCCGGGTGGTAGTCCTTGATCCACACTTACTGCGATGAAGAGACCACCGAGGTAAGCTATTAAAGCAGCTTGAGTTGCCTGTTGTAGTTGTGATTTTTCTCAATTTGTCTTCCTACCATTCTAATTGAGAGCACAAATAATTAGTCCAATTAAAAGGGCTTGAGGGTCCATAAGCACTGCAAAACGTTGCTTAGAAATCAGGAAAGATTGAATAGCACTAGGGACAAAGAACAGAGCAGCACCAATGTAATTAGTCCTTCAAGAAAATTGGAAAAACAGAAATCTGTTTACAAGAAGAAGAAGTTGAATCATGTTTCAAGCATGGGGGACGAATGCTTGACATCAAAAAAGAAGATGAGAAATTGACAGCAATCCAGCCCATAAGGATATCATTCTCAATGAATTAAGCTTCTGATGCCGATCTTTATTTAGCAGTTCAAAAGATCATTAATCAACAGCATAGACAAATCAATGATATAATTAGTCCAGTTGAAGGTTCCAACAGTAGCAGAGTAATTGAAAGATCATTCTACTTTTCTGGCCATGGCAGAAGTTCAAGAAGTGCTGTTGTTCTACCTCTCCATGTGGAGCCATTTCTTAGGCAAATTCTTATTTACTCTTGTTCTTTTGTTTTACTCTTTTACATATAGGTTAATTTCTTTTGGAATCACCATCTTGATAAAGAGATAGAGCCATAGAAAAATTATTTAATTATAAAGAAAAGTACCATAAGTTGGGTTTCGTCTTTTATATATCTCAAGTTCAAATCGTCCTTATTAAATATCATAAGTTGTATTTTTGCCTTTTTTTCACTTTTCACCTTTATTGTGGACATCTTGTAGTATATTGTTCATTAATAGTGACATTCTCAGTTTTGATTTACAATCAATAGTACCTGTATTAGTATTAAAATTCAAGGCCGCAATATCAATTTGATTAACCAAATTTCTTGAAGGGTCCATGAATAAGAAGAATGCTTAAAGTAAAGAAATTCTGAGCACTTGTAAAACTTTTCCAACCGCTAGGTGATTTGCTTAATACACTACTCAAAATACTGATTATATAACAAATCATTTAGAACAATGATAATATATTACAAATTATTTTGAAGAAAAATTGCAATCAAATTCATATATGCACTAATCGCGCAACGCACAACGAATCAAGACTAGTTAGACTTATTATTGTATAGTTATAATATATATATATATTATTAGTTGTAAGATGTATTCCTGTATCACTATTCGTGTCTAATTTCATATCCACATATCTTATTAATTTTTTGAGATTGACGAGTCCGACATTTGCACCTCTGCTAATAGCTGACATTACGGATAGATGATATCTGTATCTAGAACTGCCAACAAACTGAGTAGCTTGCAACCAATTTAGTCAAGGTTTTGTTAGAATTATGTCAAAATCAATCTCGAGATGTATTCAAGTTATTCAATTAGATATATGAATAAAAAAATAATTCCTAAAATATTTGTTCGAGAGCTGCGAGCCTATGTAAATTACTGTATAGGATATAGTATTTCTCCGTCATTCTTTCCGTTTCTCTCTATAATTCACTATAATTCATTTTTCTTGTCTACTATCTTATCTATCTACTCTCTATGTTCTATCTACTATATAGTTGGGACAAACTTTGGTGGTATGCCTTACGAGTAACTAATTAAGAGGATATAATATTAATTTACAAGTAATTATTTTAATTATTGTCATCTATTTATTATTTTATTTATTGTTAACCATAGAGGAGAAGAAGATGAAATGTCCTCTAATTGTCCATTATTTATTATTATACACATATAAATACTGAGTTTGGGCAAATTTTGGTGATTGGCCTTGCGAGTAAATGATTAAGAGGATAATATGAATTGACAAGTAACTATTTTAATTAACGCCCTCTATTTACTATTTATTTATTGTTAATCTTGGAGAAAAAGAAGATAAAATGTACTCTAATTGTTTTTAATTAATTCTCATCATGGAACAAGAGGAAGATGAATGAGCTCTTATATATATATAGGTGGAATGCCTTATGAGTAACTGATTAAGAGGATAATATAAATTGGCAAGTAATTATTTTAATTAATGCCTTATGAGCTCTATTTATTATCTTATTTATTATCTTATTTATACTGAGTTTGGACAAATTTTGGCGGTTGACCTTATGAGTAAATGATTAAGAGAATAATATGAATTGACAAGTAACTATTTTAACTAAAGTCCTCCATTTATCCCTTTTACCCTATTAAAGTAGAAAACAGGATGCTGATGTGACAATTTCTTATTAAAAGGTTTTGGCTCCAAATGCACCATATTACATAAACCATTCTGCCACGTGTCACCTCCTTTTAAAAACAAAAAATATA